CAATTGCCTCTAATGTACATTTTGCTACAGTAAACACTTCGGTTGTGTTTGCTGGGATAAGGGAATGAGGAATTGTCACTTTCTTGAAAGGTTCCTCTTTAATGATCCATTATTATTGGCCATTCTTGAATCAGATAATTATCTAATAGCTGTTAGTCACTCTAAGATAGCCCTTGTATTAGAAGAAATTAAATGTGAGACTCCTGAAAATAATATTATGAACTATTACAATTTTAAATAATTACTTTTTTAAGGTTTTAATTTGTGACTGAAACATTGCACCTGCTATTATTTATTTAAAGCCCTGGAACAATTAATGAACAACTTATGAGCCGTGGCACAGATGTAAGCCACACAAGGTAAAACTCTAACTTTAACAAGTTTTGTGAATATAATTCTATCCAATGGAATGTGATCAGACTGGTGAAATAACTAGGCAGCACCTGTCGTATCCTTGTGTAGTAGCAGAGAAGAGCTATAACTGAGCAAAAGAGAGAGGATGCAAAGAACATAGTTCTCTGCAGCATGTAGATCTTTTGTTCCCACCACTAGAGTTTACACCACAGCCCTCTTATCTACAACTGGTAGGTGTTGAAAAGTCAGATTGACTGTGGGCCAGCCAAACTTGAGGGCCTAAAAATGTACTTCCACTCCACCTCCCTTCAAATAATACAATACTACTACTTTGTTATTAGCTATATTAGTTGCACACTTGATTAGCATATACTAATACTTTTCTATACGCTAACTGGACTTGCCTTTGGGTAGTATATGATGACAGGTGAGTGGTGTTAAAATCGATATTAGTAATAGCGTATACAAATTATGTAACTACCACTGTTCCATAATTAGAGATACTATAGTCATCAAAACAACTTCCTTTAGCTCAATGAAGTAGTTGTGGTGTACATACCGCAGTCGCAGGGGTCACGGCTGCGACTGGGCCCGGCACACCAGGGGGCCCGGCAGCTCTGCGACCCGGTATCTATGCCAGCCTCTGCTCCTGTGGGGCCCAGGAGCTGACCACCTCGGGCCCCCCGAGGCTTGCCCTGGTGTCACCGGGCGCACGTGAGGGAGCACTCTCCCCTGAGCATTCTCTGCCCAGCTCCCTCGCACGCACCACACTGATGCCAGACCCAGAATATGACGTCATTCCGGCTCCGGCATCAGTACGCGGCGCCACTGGACCCCAGGGAATCACCTCAGCTCTCCCAAAGGTAGGGAGGCTGGGGGATTAAATAAAAAAAAAGTTTTTGAGTGTCAATGTGTGTGTGTTACTGTGTGTGTCTGCTAGTGAGTGTTAGTTTTTGTGTGTGTGTTACTGTGTGTGTTAGTTTTGTGTTAGTTTGTGTGTGTCTGTTATTGAGTGGGTGTTTGTGTGTCAGTGAGTGTGTCACTGTGTGTGTGTTACTAAGTGTGCTAGTTTGTGTGAGTCTGTTTGGTGTCTGTTAGTGAGTGTGTGTTTGTCAGTGAAAGTGTTTTGTAAGTGAGTGTGTATGTATGTCTGTAACTGAGTATGTCTCTGTCAGTAAATGTGTGTGTCTGTTAGCTAGTGTGTATGCGTCTGTTCGTGAGAGTGTGTGTGTGTGTTTAAAACCCCTTCAGCACTTACCTTTCTCCAACACCGGACTCCCTTGGGGCTGGGGATCCCTCCGCCCCGATCCGCCTCTCAGCTCTGCATGTGCGGCAAGAGCCGCGCGCGCATTCAAACCGCCCACAGGAAAGCATTACTCAATGCTTTCCTATGGACATCCAGCGTCTTCTCACTGTGATTTTCACAGTAAGAATCGAGGAAGCGCCTCTAGCGGCTGTCAGTGAGGCAGCCACTAAAGGCTGAATGGTTAACCTTCAGTGAAACATAGCAGTTTCTCTGAAACTGCTATGTTTTGAGCTGCAGGGTTAAAACTAGAGGGACCTGGCACCCAGACCATTTCATTGAGCTGAAGTGATCTGGGTGTCTGTAGTGGTCCTTTAAGTGTATGTGTATCTGCATGCACTGGCGTACATACTGCGGTCGCAGCCCTGCAACCAGGTGCCCACCGCCATGTTTTGCAGCCCTGGCCCGCGCAGAGCACAGATAAATTTTCGCACCGGTGCCCCATGGGTCGTGTGTACGCCACTGGTGGTGGTGGTGAATGGATACCTGTGCAGTCTTACCGCTTAAACCTCTGGAATGTGGGGGGGGGGGAATCACTTTTGTTTCAGTCTATGCAGCCTTGGCTACACCTCCCCTGGCTGTGATTGATCAGATATCCACTTGCTTTAGATGTTTTTCTCTCCTGCTCTGTAAATTTAAATGTAATCACACACAGAAGGCTCCTGCAGGGTCTGGAAGGCTATTAACACAGCAGGGGATAAGACATTCTAAATTAAACAGTGCAATATCCTAAGTGGCAGGGAGTTGAGCAGTGAGACTGCAGGTGCATGATTTGTACACCAAAACTACTTTATTAAGCTAGCGTTATTTTGGAGACTATAATGTCCCTTTAATGGTAAGATGGGATGCATTCATTGCAATCTTAGGAGAACCTGCAGCTAACAAGCCCCCATGGTCCCTGAAAGTGTAGGGAGTGCAGGAGAGCTCTGTCTATTCTACAGCTGTCTCCTCCTTAAGTATTCCAGGCAATGTGAATTAATGTCAATTCTCCGTTGGCTTTCAAGCATGAAGGGGAACAGAGAGAAAAGAACTGCATCATCACTATGCCACCTTAACCCCGAATGTTATCTACTTTATCTCCACATATTTAAAAGGTAGAGAGTGAGAAGGCCCTTTGTTGCCTAGTTTTGTCCCTGTAACAACCCAAGTTTTTCATTTTAGTATAGTTGGCTATTTTAGGACTAAACGTGCATTACTTGTTTCGTAATGATGTGATATGAGAGAGATAACACAAAAAAAACAACTTATGCTCTGTAGATGGCATAGGTATTTTGGTATTTGACAAATAATCATTTGTAATTGCAAGTATTAAGACTCTTGTGAGTAATTATCATAGTGTCACACCCACCTGGGTTCTTGCAGGGGTGATGGATCCCAATTGCAGCGGAACGGTACTCCTTTACAATCACGAACCTCAGGAGCACCTGGAAGTGGGGACAGGGTTCCGAAGGGTCTGTGGTGGCATGAAGGCCTTTATTGGTCGGAAGCCAAGCGAGGAATTCAAGAAGGGAAGAAACAAGAAGTGAAGTCAATCAATCCGCAGTCAGGTCAGGCAAGAGTAGTCGATCAATCCAGAGGCAGGTCAGGCAGCGGGCAAGAAGAATCAATCAGAAGATCAAGGATCAAGAACCAGGAACACGAGCTGAGAATCAGGACAAAAGGCAGATATACAAGAGCAAGGAAAATAACCAAGCACTGACTGGAAGGTGTGCTTGGTTTAAATAGGGAGCCAGGATCACATGACCGACCACCTCCCACCAGTAGGTGGGGCACACTGGAGCTATAAAGGAAAGTCAGAGATTCGGCGCCATCTTGATTTGCACCATAATCCCTGACCTTCCCTCTCCTATCAGATCCGCAGCTCTCCTCCTTCTCTCTCTGCAAAACGACGGGTGGCCGCCATCTTGCGGCGACGGTGTGCTCACCGCGTTCCCCGGCAGGGAGAGGTAGAGAGGGAACCACCGCAGACCCTGGGATCCCTCTCTGAGAGCGGCGTGTGCCACGACTCCGCCACTAGGACGCCACGAGCTTCCAGGAGCGGGAGAGTACATGGCAGTGCCGTGACACAGAGACTGCATTGGCTATCTATAACCTAAAACTTTGGGTCCTTCCGGGCCACCACAGTAGATCATATCTTGATCTGTTTTTTTTTTCATTGTCCACCTGTGAGAAAGAGATTTCAATATCTATAGACTCGCATTCCACAAACATCACACCTAAAACTACAAATGATTTTGGACGACGTGAGCAGACTCCTGCCAGCGTTGGATCCTAAGCTGGGAAGTAACCTGTTTCTTTTCATACAGCCTGCCTGCTGACGTGGGGACGTCTTCCTGGCCAACACAGTCTGCCAAAAAGAGAGATGCCACTAGGAAGAATCCAGCCACGCAGAAGAAGGAGAAATAAACTTGCGAAGGAGAGAGGAAAATATCCACCCTTCTGATTGCTCTGCCTGTCTGTAAAATATGTTCTTCACTTTGTATGTGTATTGCATTTCATGTCCTTTGCTGTGCCCGGGACCGAAGACATTATATTTGCAATACCTGTCTTGCCAGGAATCCCACCATTTACATATTTGCTTCTGTGCAATCACTTTGTCTCTGCAAGGCTGGTGTTCTAACCTTCACAGTGTAATTCAATGAACTGCTACCCTCAATCTTTGAATTAAAAGAATGAATTGGTTACTCTGTTTGAGCTTTATTACTATGAAAAGTATATTTTCACTATGCCTTGAAGAAACCGTAATCACTTGCATGATATTTATATGCACTTGTATAACATCAAAATGAAGCATCTTAGACCCAACATAGGATAAAAAAAATATCTAAATTGATAACCTGGAATTTAATATTTTGTTTGAATTTTTATAGGTGTGGCTCAGTTCCTGTTATATTTAAAAATGGTGCCCATAATCTTCAAATATATGCTTTTATATTCTAGGACATTTAGAGGTTTAAATAAATTATCTTGCTGCATATAAGAGTCTACCTGGACAGCCATGAAGCAGCTTTTAACTGGTGAGGGCATGTGATGATTTCTAAATATAACAGTAGGGGATCTGAAATTGTGATATGTCACATACATTTTGGTTAAAATGGAGATGCATGTCTTTGCATTGTGATCATATGTATAGGGTTGCATTCAAAAGCTTGAGCATTCAAACATAACTGGTTTAGTGAGAAGATTTATAAAATTATTGCAAACAAATAAAATGGAGCAGAATTCTAATGGTAGAACACCAAACAAATTAACGCAATAAGCAGAAACGTTCCATTGTTACCAGTGGTGAAAGCCCAATAGTTAGCCCCTTCTGTTTGTGAACTTTTACGAATCTTCCCCTGGTGTATTAGTTTCCTGCGTTGAGGTGTGTCTACATTGGTTCTTATGATGTCTTTGCTCAACATATTAATTTATAGGGAATTCACAGAACTCCATTGCCGACGTGTTTCCCTTCAGATTGCCAGTCTGAACAATACTTTTGTAGTGATCACAACCTTTGCATTGGTCCTGAATTGATTTTAGTACTTCCATAAGCTTCTTGTGGGACCATGCATGTCCTAGTTGTGAAAACAAGCAGAACAATTACAAAGTGATATTCCACAGTTGCAATAAATGGACCGCATTGCCAAACCTCCAGCAGGAACTGTTTGGAATAACTGTCTACAGAGACAGAAAGAGAACACAATCTGAAAAGATAGAAATAGAGAAATCAAAAAATAAAATTAAGAAACTCTCCTAAAATAATATTATTTAAAAGAGCATACTAGTTATTTTTTATAATTAAAAGTACTGTTGGTTAATTTACTTTTAACAAGATTTTTCTTCTTATAGACAGATTACAAATTTGTCTTCTACACAGGTCAAAAAAATAAAGGGAACACTTAAACAACACAATGTAACTCCAAGTCAATCACACTTCTGTGAAATCAAACTGTCCACTTAGGAAGCAACACTGAGTGACAATCAATTTCACATGCTGTTGTGCAAATGGGATAGACAACAGGTGGAAATTATAGGCAATTAACAAGACACCCCCAATAAAGAAGTGATTCTGCAGGTGGTGACCACAGACCACTTCTCAGTTCCTATGCTTCCTGGCTGATGATTTGGTCACTTTTGAATGCTGGCGGTGCTTTCACTCTAGTGGTAGCATGAGACGGAGTCTACAACCCACACCAGTGGCTCAGGTAGTACAGCTCATCCATGATGGCACATCAGTGCGAGCTGTGGCAAGACGGTTTGCTGTGTCTGTCAGCATAGTGTCCAGAGCATGGAGGCGCTACCAGTAGACAGGTCAGTACATCAGGAGATGTGGACGAGGCCGTAGGAGGGCAACAACCCAGCAGCAGGACCGCTACCTCCACCTTTGTTCAAGGAGGAATAGGAGGAGCACTGCCAGAGCCCTGCAAAATGACCTCCAGCAGGCCACAAATGTGCATGTGTCTGCTCAAACGGTCAGAAACAGACTCCATGAGGGTGGTATGAGGGCCCGACATCCACAGGTGGGGGTTGTGCTCACAGCCCAACACCGTGCAGGACGTTTGGCATTTGCCAGAGAACACCAAGATTGGCAAATTCGCCACTGGCGCACTGTGCTCTTCACAGATGAAAGCAGGTTCACACTGAGCACATGTGACAGATGTGACAGAGTCTGGAGACGCCGCAGAGAACGTTCTGCTGCCTGCAACATCCTCCAGCATGACTGGTTTGGCAGTGGGTCAGTAATGGTATGGGGTGGCATTTCTTTGGGGGGCCGCACAGCCCTCCATGTGCTCGCCAGAGGTAGCCTGACTGCCATTAGGTACTGCAATGAGATCCTCAGACCCCTTGTGAGGCCATATGCTGGTGCAGTTGGCCCTGGGTTCCTCCTAATGCAAGACAATCCTAGACCTCATGTGGCTGGAGTGTGTCAGCAGTTCCTGCAAGATGAAGGCATTGATGCTATGGACTGGCCCGCCCGTTCCCCAGACCTGAATCCAATTGAGCACATCTGGGACATCATCTCTTGCTCCATCCACCAACATCACGTTGCACCACAGACTGTCCAGGAGTTGGCAGATGCTTTAGTCCAGGTCTGGGAGGAGATCCCTCAGGAGACCATCAGCCACCTCATCAGGAGCATGCACAGGCGTTGTAGGGAGGTCATACAGGCATGTGGAGGCCACACACACTACTGAGCCTCATTTTCACTTGTTTTAAGGACATTACATCAAAGTTGGATCAGCCTCTAGTGTGTTTTTCCACTTTAATTTTGAGTGTGACTCCAAATCCAGACCTCCATGGGTTAAAAAATGTGATTTCCATTTTTTTATTTTTGTGTGATTTTGTTGTCAGCACATTCAACTATGTAAAGAACAAAGTATTTCAGAAGAATATTTAATTCCTTCAGACCTAGGATGTGTTATTTATGTGTTCCTTTTATTTTTTTGAGCAGTGTATAACAGTGGAAAATGTTAAAATCATTCTATACTGCAACTATAGCCTGTGAATGATACTGAACCACAACTTGCATCACCTTGGCTAGTATATTCTCTAATAACCTCTGAGTGGCTGCATCCTCCTATACTACCAAGGCCTAAAGATTGGAAGAATATATTTTCTCACTTTCATTTGGTGTAATGTGAGTACTTTTAACATAATTACAGCCAAAATATTTCACTACCTTTTTTGCTAGTAATGTTCCCAAAGTTAGAAAACTTTAAGACCTAAAGGATCAGTCTAGGCATTATAGTCTGTTGCAGCGTTTCCCAAATTGTGTGCCAGGACAGGCACACAGGGCTGCCGTGGAATGTTTCTCCGGTGCTATGATTATGGCACCAAGGACACATTACTTCTTAACAGGACAGGGGACCGTGAGTGTGTGTCAGTGTTTTTGTGAGTGTGTGTGTGTGTCATGGTGTGCATCTGTGTGTGTGTGTGTGTGTATATATATATATGTGTATATATATATATATATATATATATATGTCAGTATGCTTCTGTGTCAGTGTGTGGGGGGCACACATCTGTGTAAGCACACTCCTGCAATCGAAAAAAACAAATATTACATACAAACACACCCCGGCTTTTAAACTTCAAAAAATATACAAACTCACCCCTTCACTCAAACACAAATACTTCACATACATGTACATCTACATTTAAAATTGAACATTACATTCAGACACAACCCTGCAATCAAACTTCGACATTAAGTACAAACACAACCCATGTATTAAAACACTAAAACTATATACAAGCAACCCTTCAAACACCAGCACTGTACATTACACTATAGCGTCAGTAAATGCTGCAGCGCTATTGTAAAATCTGGTTGGAATCGATCGTCAACATTAAATCTTCTTAATTTCTACTTGTCTTCAGTTGATTGATATATATATACGTCTTTTGTATATATAGTCTTGGGCCAAATGCTCGCCACATTATACAGATGTGCCACAATGATGTCAGACTATAACTCTAGCCATATAAGGACAAAAAACCCAACTTACATTCCAGAGCTCTCAGAAAAAGAAAGACTTATGACTTATACCATCTGTTACTTATGTCAATCCACACATCCATATATAATCAATAGAAACATAGAATATGCAATATTCTACAGCTATACAGATATACAACCTAGAAATTTTGACTTGGGGTGCCTTGGAAAAATATTGAAATATTAAAGGAGCCTTGAACCTAAAAAGTTTGGGAACCACTGGTCTATTGAGTACTAGGTCAAAGTGTTTTCAAGCAGTTTAACCAACACTGTGGGTCACCAAAACTAGGCACCCAGACCACTTGATCTCATTGAAGTGGTCTGGGTGCAGTGTTCCTGTCCCCTTAGGCCTGCAATGTAAAATATTGTAGTTTTAGGGAAACTGCAATGTTTACATTGCTGTGTTTAAACTGCCTCTAGTGACTTATTACCAGAATTACCAGCACTTCCTCGATTTACACAAAATGTAACTCTTTGCATAAGGACATCCAGCGTCTTAAAAATCTTTTTTTGTTTTTCTGCTAATACGCAAAATATATTGAGATTGTTGGAAAAGTGTTTTTGTCTTGTTCATTTAAATTAAATTCCTTTTCATCTATACAAAAACAAATCAATCAATGAATAGGACTCTACAGATAAGTCCCGAAAGAATAAAGTATGGGTTAAAAGAAATTTGATTCGGCCGCAAAACAAATTTTTGCATGGATCTTGTTCTCAGTAACTTGTCAAGTTCTTTTTGGTGGTTAAATTTAAGTTCCACTAGTGTATCAATTACCTTGGAAGAATTGTGATTGCTTAAAGGATCACTATAGTGTCAGGAAAACAAAGCGGCCTCCCTTGGCGCTATAGTTACTTACTTTAATCCAGCGCCGGGCTCCCTTGGCGCTGGTGACCTTTCCTCCCCCTCCGACGTCAGTGGAGCCGAATGCGCTGCCACGCGCGCATTCAAAGTGTCCATAGGAAAGCATTTCTCAATGCTTTCCTATGGACGCTCCGCGCGATTGATGCGAAATTCGCATCCAGCGTCGCAGATGCGCCTCTAGCGGCTGTCCGGAAGACAGCCACTAGAGGCTGGATTAACCCCAAATGAAAACATAGCAGTTTCTCTGAAACTGCTATGTTTACATCTGAAGGGTTAAAACCTGAGGGACCTGGCACCCAGACTACTTCATTGAGCTGAAGTGGTCTGGGTGACTATAGTCTCCCTTTAAGCTTGACGGTTTATTGTATGAAAAGGTTCCTTTTTCAATCAACCGCTATTGGAAATAATGTTGTGAAAAGTATCGGAGCAGTAAGATTGTAAAAACTTTGACATCATTAATGGCTCATCGGCAGCTATTATCATGTTGATAAATATCACACGATATATTGCAATATATCCCTAAGTCTACCGAGTGAGAGTGTCCTAAGTGTTGCCAACTCGACCCACTTGCACTGCTTTGTAAATAAATCACTAAAACTAATTGCCATATTTAAATATACATACCTTAAACTTTTTTGTCACATGCTGATTAATGTGTTGGCAGCAGATTTTACTGGATTCCTTTGCAGTTTATTAATCTTTACCACCTCAAATGACGACCGTTTAGTGAACCCATTACCCTAAGTAAAACTAAAAGGGTGTGTTTGGTGTTGGTGGAACAGTTGACTAGTAATGGGTTTTACCTGCTGCGTATGATGAGGCCGAGCTGTTATGTGGCTAGGACATATGTTTGTCTGCTCTGAGGACACCGTGCTGTAATTTTTATAAATTTTGGCAGACCTTGACAGGGAGGACGAACAGGTGTTATTCTTGGATACGGAGACCTCTTCTCAGCTGACTGGGCCCATCACCACAGTCTGCGGCCATTGAAAGGTCACACCCCACCTTCATCTGGAGGAAATCCACTTCAGAGCGCAGTGTGGCATAGTAGATGCTAGCCTCCAGCAGAACTGTGAATAGTCGTGCCTAATACAGGTATAATGTGAGATAGCTAGGTACTAGAATTCAGAGAGAGGGATGCAGAACTAGAGATAGCTGTGTGCAATATACTGACATGAGAGATAGATCCAAGTAGAATTAGAGATAGCTGTGTATTGTAT